AGAGATGTGAGGCTTAGTTTGAGTATGACACGCAACTCAAGAGCGCATTTTGACTTTGACATTTCCAAATATATTTTTACTCAAATATCACTATAAAAACTTATTTTTTCAGATTAACACTTATTTTCAAATAATTTTTAAGATAATAGAGTTTGTTAATAAGTTGTGTCATGTAATATAAAAGGTGTCCTACCAACCACTCTTTTTAAAACTACATTTGAAAGGAAGTATTTTGATATTAGGGTAAATTACACATTTTAGTACCTAACTATTATTTTTGGTCTATTTTAGTACTTAATTTTTTTAAAGGCATACGTAATGTTTAGTTTTTGTTTCATTTTAGTACCATGTTATTAAAAATTTAACACAATTAGTACCTAAGTTATTAGTTTTTGTCTGTTTTAGTGCTTAAACTTTTAATTTTTTTAAAAACTTAACGTTAATTTTTTAACATGGAGTACTAAAACGAAACAAAAAATAAACTTTAGTTATGGTTTTGAAAAAGTTAATAGTTTAGGTACTAAAACAACCAAAATTGATAGTTTATGTACTAAACATGTACGTAAATTATGTATTTAGTACATAAACTATCAGTTTTGGTCTATTTTAGTACCTAAGTTTTCAATTTTTTTAAAATCACACGTAATGTTTAGTTTTTGTTTTATTTTATTACCCATGTTAAAAACTTAACGCGTATAATACCTAAATTATCAATTTTGGTCCGTTTTATTACCTAAAATTTCAAAAAAAAATCAAAACTTAATGGTAAACTTTTGACGGGGTATTAAAATGAAACAAAAACTAAACTTTATGTATGATATTTTTAACATTAAAAGTTTAGCACTAAAACGGATAAAAACTGATAGTTTAGGTATTAAACGTGTAATTTACCCTTATCTATGATAAATTATTAGATTGGTCACTTTATTTTAGGCATAATGTAAAAAAAAAGCCTAACGTTTATTAAAATGATCATTTTGATCCCTATTCTTTTTTTAAAGAATTTTGACCCCATCGTTTCACTTTGGGCAAAAAACTCCCTCTATGGATCAAAGTAATTAGTAAACACATGGTTAACATTCCAAAATATGAGTCTTTTTCAATCTAAAATGCTCCAAAAATAATAGAATTGGACAAAATGACCATTTTGATAAATGTTGGAGGCTAATTTTGGTATTATGCCATTTCTTTTAATACTTATATATTTTTTCTTATTAAATTTAGAAAAGGTTTAATACAAAAATAAGTGTCTAAACTATGTCTCAAAATATGATTTGGTGCCTAAAGAATTTTCGTTAAAAATATATGCCTAATGTTTTCTCTGTTACAAGTCTACTGTTATATTTTTAATTAATAAAAATATTATATTTTTAAAAAAGAAAACAATTAAAAAATACCTCCTTTCCCCTCGTTATCCTTCTCCCTCCCGTTGCCCCACCTCCGACGGCGAATGATAATCATCAGTTGGATTTTGTTCGGAGCACGACAAGGAACACAACTGTGGTGGTCATGTAACGTATGAATGCATGTAGCTATCAAAATTGCCGGAAAACATAAACGGAACACCTAAAAATCCGATGATTATTCGTGACATTTTCGCGAAATTGGCGTAGTTTCACTGTGGGTGGGAGATTGGTTTTGGTTGCACCGACAAGACAATTCTGATATCAATGGTGACGATAACAAACCGACGGTGGCCGACCGAAGACGATAAATATGAAATTTGGTGTTTTTTTGTTTTTTAATGATATTATTATTTTTTAAAATAAAATAATTTTTAAATTTTATATGCATGACACGTGTCTGATAACGACTAAATTTAACGGCTCGTTATTATCCAAGTACCTAAAAGTGTAATGTTGAAAACGTTAGACACCAATTTTTAACGAAGAATTCTTTAGACACCAAATTGTATTTCAATGTATAGTTTAGGCACTTATATTTTTTATTAAGCCTTTAAAAATTAAGTTTTGTTCACTCGTGTTATTAATTTATTAAATTTTGATAACTTGTATTATCAATTATTATATTTTATTCATTGATTTGTTAAGTCTCGTTAATTTGATGATGCGATATGTTTGTTAAAAGGAATTAAATTTTAGTTGTATCTTTAAACTTTATATAGAATACTAGTTAAACCTTAAACTTTAATCGAATTATTTTAATCCTTAAACTTTAGATAAAATAACAAATTGACCTCTGAATTCGACCAAAATCTCTCGTCGTCATCGCCACGCACCATTGCCATAGTCGATAATTGTCGGTCGACATTGGCCACCATTATCGTCGGTTGTTAAAACTAAAAATTTACATTTCACCCTTCTTTGATATTCTGAATATCTTATACTTAACAATTCATGTCCTAATATGGCACGGTCCTAACATCTATGGTACTCGAACTTTGATCTTTAAAAAATAACATCTGATTTTATCCACGCGTAATCGACTTCCAAACATACTCTCGGTATTAATGTTAGATATAGATAAAAAAAATTATAGTTGTACCTAACATAAACAACCATTGAGACTCCTCCCTCCATCGTTTAATTAGCTTTTGTAAGACCAAATTGTTTATTGAATCATTACAAACAAATTTCGACATTAATATGGTATAAATATTTATTTTATAATTAGACCTTTCAAATATTATATAAAAAAATTTGTCGGTGAGCAAAATTGGAAAGAGCAAGAGATAAAATGGAGCGTGAAACACACGCGTGATAAAATGGGCGACGGGTGTTGGGAAATTGAACCGAAAACAGTCAGAGCAACACAATCAGAGGGCTGCGACAGACAGAAAGTTATAAAACTTACGACGCGGGTGGGATCCAGCGTGTCGAACCTTTTCTAATTCTCTTAAGGGTAAATTACGAATTTGGTAACTAAACTTTAATCTTTTCTTATTTTACTCACTGTACTTTAAATATGTTCGATTTCTTCGTAAACTTAATACATTAGGGTTTTTTTTTGTCACTCATCCATTTCCTCATTAACGGCGTTATAAATGATTGTTTATGTAAATGTAAAACGATATCATTTTGGTGAAATTTATTTTTTAAAATGATATCGTTTAACGCCGTTAACTATATAAAGGCGAGGTGACAAAAAAAATTAAATGTATTAAGTTTAACGAGAAAATTAAAATCTTTTAAAATTGAGTGAGCAAAATTAAAGAGAGTAAAGTTTAATGATGAAATTTAGAACTTACCTTATTCTTAATATAATGATCAATATTCAATTAATCAATTAATTTAAATATCAGAATATATTATATTTAATACTTTTAATTTATTTTTTATTAAAATACTTATTAACTCATATCATTTATTAAATTAAATATTATTATTTCAAGAAATCTTAGAATAATTGCATTGGTAAGATATGCGTTATCAATAATAAAAAAATTTAAAATAAAAATTATTTTATAATAATATCAAATTCTTAAAAAATTATTAAAAATAACAAATTTTTAATTTATGACTTTAATCAAGATATAATATTTTATTTTTTTGGTAAACAGATATAATATTTTACTTTATTAAATCAATTAATAATTAATTAATAGTATATACCTTTTAATTTCATAAATGATTTTAAATTTTATAACTTATTAATATTAGTTTCGGAGTATTCTATTTTTATTATTTAATGATTGTCATGAAAGAATATAAACAAACGATCACATCATCGTAATTATGGGGTCCATTCAACGACTTAGATTCTTTTAGTTAATTTCCGAGATCTTAGTTTAGTAATTAAGAAAAGGTATAATGATATTTTAGTCCCTAATATTTACATCTTTTGTTACTTTGGCCATTATCATTCTTTTAACTTATTTTCTCTCTCGAAAATCTATCATTGTCTTTTACGAAACGTCGAGATGTTGTCACCACCCTCTACTTTAACGTCGAGTACTCTACACTAAATTACATCTCCGGAGTTCCACAGAACCTCCAGAGTTTTATATCCTCTAGCCAGTTAAAACCTCATGATGTGATCATCGACATGCCCACGTGATATACCGATGGCAAAGTCTACTCATCTTATCTATCTATAGATAGCCATTACGATCCTATGTCTGACACCAACACTAAAGGTTAAACCTCTCAACCAAGACTGAAATAAAGATTTAAACCACTATACACCTATGTTTTATCCACTCCTTGATTGGAAACAAAGAATCTTGACACTGATCTACCAAATAACTATCGACTGAGAGCCTTCTCCCTAACCAATAAGATGTGAACCACCACCAATCAACTTATGCACACCATAAGAAAAGCAAATACCATCAACAAAGCTCGTTCAAAATATAACATAAGATGTAAACCGTCACCAATCATTTAACCTAGTGCTCAGGCTCTACATACCGTTGTAGTCCTAGATTCTATCCACACTGAATCCTTATGTATCTTTTTTCTTGTTTTCCATCACAATATAAGTTAAACACAATATTTTATCATGATATAAAAAAATCTTTCACTTCACTCAATCAACAGGTTCAATCTCCGTCGTAATATAAAAAAATCTTGGATAAACTACGCATTTAGTACTTAAACTATCAGTTTTAGTATCTAAACTTTCAATTTTTTTTCAAAACGATACCTAACGTTTAGGTTTTGTTTAATTGTAGTATCCCACCGTTAAAAACTTAACGCATTAGTACCTAAACTTTCAATCTTTTCAAAACTTAATAGTTAAATTCTAAACGAATGTACTAAAATGAAACAAAAACTAAACTTTAGATATGATTTTGAAAAAAAGAAAGTAAATTTATTATTTTTCTTTAACACCAATTACTTTAATTGAGTACAAAGTTAATGACAAGAAAGGGTAATTTAGATTCCAAACCAAACACAGTTAACCAAGCAGGTCAAGTCAATGTCTAGTAATTCACATTCAACCCTTCACATGCATGAAATAATAATGATGGGAATTTAATCCCAATCCAGTTAAGTCAACAACAACATGAATAGTCAAACAAAACAGCTAAATTGCAGTTGAGACAGAGTATAAATGAAGAAGCTAGGAATGCCTCATTTATTAAACTAACAAAAGTCAACTTATATCATCATTAATGGCTCACTAACAAATTTATAGCAAATTTCATTGCAAATTTATGCACACCATAAGAAAAGGAACTTATCTTCCTTACATGCATGTGAATCAAGACAAGGAAAGTGTTGATCTTTCGCCTCCTCTCTCCTTTGTTCTGATGAGTGCAGGGGTTAAGATTTGGCCGGACCAAACATACTCCGTTCATTGGTTCCGATTCGTAATTAATCAGAGTTATATTGCTTTGCCATGCCAAGTCAAGCCAGGCACCAGTTTTAACACTGTCCTCACCAAGATGGAGGTTTTGTGGGCAATTTCCTGTCAGCATATAATCCTTCTACATTACCTAGACTTGCCATTTTCTTAAATAATCGCATCCAACACATATAATCCTCCTACTATGAGATTAAGATCCTCCAAATATATATAATCTAAGAAAACTTGAGCATACACGTGACGGACACATACCCCGTACCCCACATTTAACCTTGAAATTGGATAACTTAGTATGTGCTGTAAAAATACTAGCACTATTCATCCCTGCATCTCATTCCTAGTTCAACATGAATAGCTGGCCGTTAAGAAGATATGGAAGATCCTAAAAGTAATATATGATAAGAAAAGAAATCATTCATGCATCCCCCTAAAACAGATCCAACAAAACGGCTTTGGCTTCAAGTAAACAAATTAGCATATCTGCTTCAAGAGGAAACAACTCCTTGAATGCATAAACTTAGATAACCAGAGTAATGAAACATTTATCAAGTCATTGCTTCATTCCAAAGCTATCAACCTTTGGTATGAATACGCTACAGTAATCCCGACTAGGGTTGTCAAGGGCACAACAAACAGTCTAAGCACTAAACTCTAAAGAGTAAAGAGTGGTCCGTTCATCTAAATATGATATTTTTTTGCTGATCAATATGCCTGACTTCCATATGGTCCATGTTTAATGTTGAATACTCAAATTACCATCCCTTTCTTACTAATAAGGGTACATCTAATAGACAATGCGAAAAATAAGAGAACTTAATCGTATCTCTCAAAAACAAAGTATGCCTAAACACAACAAATGAGTGAATGTGAACCAAACCAAATACACTTTTCCTGCCCGAAAGTGTCCGAGATGCCATTGCCAAATGCTTGGACACATGCTGAGATTAGGATGACAGTATGACACTGATCTCAGCAGCACGTACTTCTCTAATATGTAATCGTAATGAAAGAAAATATCATTTAATGAGAAAACAACAAGAATATGATCTGAAATTGCTTTATCAAGCACTTTCCTTTAACCAAACTAGAAGAAGCTAATGTTTTCTCACTGTTCTCTAATAAAAATCCTCAACAATAGTTAGCTTTTAACTTAACAAAAGCTTCTAAAACTAACCAAAAATCCTACTTTTACTACACCAAAAAGAAGGTTAACATAAAGAAAGCTAATAAAAGCTTAAACTTACATTGCAATGGCGGATAAATATGTCCTTGCAAACCCAGCTTCCCCCAATAACCAATTACAGGAAAACGTCATAAAAACCCTTTACTAAGCTTCTGAATGGCACAAAAGATTTTCCTCCTAGAACCAACAGCATTGATCCCCATATCCTTCAAATCTTCCAATGTCAACAACAGCAAAACCTCATCATCAACTTCATGGATCTCGAAAAGAGGGGCGTACCTTTCTAAACCCAAACCATTCAGCCATATTGTAATCCCATTTTCTGAGGGTCCAGTCAATGGCCTCCTGTTGTCATTCCTATGGTAAACCACTTCAGTTTCGTTTCCATGGATACCCAAATTATCCAAACAATGAATCGGGCTCTGTTCTTTGATGGGACTCTCTGAATTCTCCATATCGAAACCGTCGTTGTCTTCGCCGCCGCTGTATTTCTCACCCGTTTCGTTGTTGTTGCCGTTGATATTGACGTTGTTGCCGCCGCCGCCGCCGGAATCGTCGAATTTGGGAACCCAATTGGATCGGATCCGTTTCGTGGCGGGGGCCCGTTTCTTGAAATCCTTGACTCTCCAGCTACCAATCGCGACGCCATCTAAATTGTTGTTGTCTTTGTTAGCTTCTCTCTCGTCGTCGAACGTTTCGTTGTTGTTGGGGTTGGTAATTGCGCGAGTTTTTGAAGATTTAGAACCGAAGCAGGCGACGTAAGAAAGGTGGGGTTGGTGTTTCCATTGCTTAGAGGCTGCGGAAGAGGAGGAGGGCCTCCGTAAATGAGATTCGTAGCTTTGGTCGCCGCCGATGTCGCCTAATCGAACACTGGGACGTCGCTGGCGTTTGGATCCGACGGCCTCGGATGAAACGACGGGGACAGTGGCTTGTACGACGCCGTTTAACTGGGCATCTGATTGCTGTATATCCGCCATAGGAAGTGGCTTTTGGGCTTCGATCGAGAGGGAGAGAGAGTGAAATAAAATGGAAGTGAAAGTTTTACTGGGTGAGTGACACGTGTCCTCCTTTCCTACCGAAAGGGAGCCATAGTAACTTTGGAGTTAATTCTTAACATTTCCCCAAACTATGATACTCATTCTGAATTAATCCATAAACTTTTAAATATTCCAATTTAATCTCCAAACCATGATCATCGTTTTAAATTCGTCCCAAAACTTTTAAAAGTTTCAATTCATCTCAAACTATCGTTATATGCTAATCATATCAACTGTTAATCAAATTTTTACTGTGATTGATGGAAGAAATTATTCAATATACTTTTTGGTTACGATAATAAAATTTTAAACTCGTAAGATTATGATAACATATAATTATAAAGTGATAAGAATATTTATGTCATTCATATGGGAGATTATTAGGTTATATGAACATAACATATATATATATATATATATATAGATTTAGGATTCACTTACAAGTTTTACACCTTTTTAAGTTGGATTATTAAAAATCAAAGGCTGAGATTAATTCTTTATTTTTTCTTAATGAATATCTTCTCATTTCTTATTATTAATCCGAGTCTTTGACTCTCTTATTAAGGATCCTAAAAGTGTATTTTTTTTAAATTTTACGTCTCACAATAAATTGTGCACATTAAAAAATTTCACGACAACAATATCTATAGTAACTGTAACAATATATGTTACGTCTGTAATTGTGATAAACGCGATGGAATCGATGGATTTCAGAGAAGATTACCTTTGGCTCCTTCCTCCTCTTGCGTGTGAGAGTGAGAGTTTGATTTGGTTCACCATTTTGAAGATTTTCCACCATTGTTGACTCATTGAAGCTTTGGTTTATAAAAACCCAAGAAGGGTCACTATGAACAATCATCGAGCTTTCAACTTCATTGAAGCAATAGAAACTGATGTTCTTAGTTTCCTCTACAAACCCAGAAATTGTATTTGGAGAGAAACTGGTGAGAATCGTCTGAAAATGATGTCGTCATAACAGAAGGAATGTTCGTGAACATTCGATAATCTCTTATTTATGTTTATTCACTGTATCTTTCATTTCGCGATAGAATGAAAAAAAACCCTAAATTATTTAAATTTATATTCATTTATAACTTTAAAGAACGAATATGAATATAATACATTCCTTGCACGAACGACCAAATACAAAAAGTTATGTTCGTTTTGTTGTGTGTGTTCATTCGTTTGTTCTGTTGAAATTAAAAGAGATCGGGAAATTATGAATATTTATCATGCATGAGATAAGAGAAGAGTTTGAGAAATTATGAATATTTTTAATTTCTTTTTAAAAGATGTTTGTTAATCGATTTTTTTTTTGATTAAGTTAAGGTGATTAAAAAGTAGTATCTTGTTCCTTTTTCGGTGGTGAAATTTTATGGCATTGTTCTATCCTTGTTACGAGTACTCTTTTCCTCTATGTAGGTTTAGGGAGATTTTTAATAAGACTCTTAAAGGTTTTTAATTAATTAATAAAATTTATTGCTGTGCAAAAAAAAAACTTCAACCGTTTGACAATGAACGCTCAATCATCCTGATGCAATCGTCGGTGCTCAAACTCGTGATTTCTAAGAACAACAACGATTCTTTTAACCACTGAGATAAGTTGGTTCGTGCTGTAATCGACAATATGGTAAAACTTTTTAATAATAGTTAATTATTTATTTATAAATAAATTATTTTATTATATTTATAAATCTTTCATATACATGTGTGTGGAAATACACATGTAGCAAAAGTAGAAATACATATATGGAAATTGGACAGTTGTATGAACAAAAACCCTTTGATTAGTGATTAAAAGGGAGTAGATAAAATCAACCATTAATTAATTATTGATTAAGAATGATTGGATATTAGATCCCTTAAGTAAAATTAAGAGTTCGAATTTTAAAATTTACGAATAGAGTAAATTGGGTTGAGAGTGTCTGTTCTCACAATAGACTTTGTAAAATTGAATCTAAAATAATCGATATTTCACATGTGCTTAATTATTGATATTTCACATGTTACATTATTATCTTGACTAAGGTATCACTTGTCACGTCATTACCTTGAATAAAGACATTTGCAACAAGAAAACGTCACTAAAAATCTCAACATACAACGGCATTTGTGGTAAAAATGCCACTAAAGATAATGTTTATACCAAACACATATTTATATCGAGCAAAACAAAAATAAAGTTAGCTGACTTACAAGGAATTTCTCGACCCCAAAGAGGAACAATTCCTTTGTACAACCTATACAAACAAGCAAGATTATATAAACATGTGTGATATAAAAGTTAAAGTGTATTAGATTCGACGTCTGTAAAGGTGTTTAAGCGTTGATTGTCAAATAGCTGAGAGTCTTTCAAGCATATACTATCTTCTAATCACCCTAAACTAATAAAAGAAAGTGCATTATAGAGAGGTACCATACCCGACAACACCTTCAGCTTTCACGATCTTCAGTAATCCATCCGATAAACCTCGTGCAAATTCGGGTTGAGTTTGCACTCGGACTTTGACAGCTTCCATGGGGCAAAGAGCCACACAAACAATCAACTCGATTGATGCAACACAAGCGAGATATATGAGTGTTTTGTATTTGGTTGCGTATATATGTCCAACGATATCGGAATAGTACTTCATGACGATGTCGTAGAAACCATATTTGAAAGCACCTTGAGCACTGTATCCCAACAGCGTTGGTGACCAACCCTTGAAAGCATCAGCATATGTAATAGGGAGCAGGGTGACTTAGCATTCATTGTCAGATGGTTAAAAGTATTTAAAACAAATATTATTTTATAATATTTTAGCTTAATAAAAAGGGTAAATTACACGCTTACTCATTGAACTTTATTCTCTCTCCTATTTTACTCACCATACTTTTGATTTTTTCAATTTACTCACTGAACTTTATGCATTGATTTTTTTTAGTCACTCCACCGTTAACTTCTTAACGGCTTATGATGTGGATTAAATAAACATTTTTTAATCATGAAAATAATCATTAAAATACAAGTAAAAGGAAAATAATTAAAAAGTAAAATACCTTAACCCTCAAAACCTTTATTTTCTCAAATTCAAAGCTCCACAACCTTTCCTCTTTAGCTTCCTCCCACCATTTTTCTCCGCTTCGTTCTCTTCTTACTTTCACAGCCAGCAACCCTTGCCCTTGCTCTCCAGGTATATTCTCTTGCCCTTGCTCTCCAGGTATTCTCTTGCCCTCAAATGAGATTCGTTCTGCTATCGATGTGCTCTGCAAATCTTTTTACTTTTGAAGCCATGAAGAAATTGATCGATGAGAGGCATGGTTTTTTTATTTACAATGTTTTGATGAAATGGGTATTTGAAAATGGGAATTTTGAGGAGGCCTAAAGTTTTATGAAAGGATGAAGAAACACAAATGAAGCCTAATGGGTTTCCTTTTAATATTCTAGTTAGTGGTTATTGTAGGGATAGACCTACGTTAACATAGCATTCCTCAACCTGCGTTAACATAGCATTCGTCAACCAATTTGGCAATGGTTAGAAAATTTCAAGGTGTTTTAAAGAGTTATAAATTCCAAGTTTTAAGTCTAATTCATGAAAAGTGATTAAATTTTAATATTCTTCTAAACATTGGGGAATACACGTTACTTTGACTTCACCCTCGAAGTATTATACATATTAATTTGTGAACTACAGAGTTTTCAAACATATTGTTGATTCTCTTGGCCGTTAATTTCCTTTAGAGAAAAAAGGGTTTTCAATTTGGTTTTTACCCAGCTGGAACCAGATCTTCCGACGACTCCGGAGTTCCGCTGCTACCATTGAGAACCGTGACATTTCCGTCCGAGTCCACATCCACGATTACCGAATCGCCTTCCTTGATTTCCCTTGCAAGCATCTTCTCTGCCATGCTGTCCTCGAGAAGTCTCATAATGGCTCTTCTCAAAGGCCTCGCTCCGTAGCTTGGATTGTATCCTTCCTCCACCACCCTCTCTCTAAACCTCTCCGTCACTTGAAGCTCGATTTCTTTGTTTTTAAGCCGGTCAAAGACTTCCTTGAGCATTATGTCGGCAATCTCCTTGACTTCCAACTTGGTCAGCTGCCTGAAAACAATCATCTCATCTAATCTGTTCAAGAACTCCGGCCTGAAATATTGCTTCAGTTCTTCTGTCACCAGGCTCTTTATCCTGTTGTAACTGCTGTCCTTCTCGTCGTAATCAAGATCAAATCCTATCCGACGTCCACCCTTTTCAATCACGCTGCTTCCGACATTCGATGTCATTATCAGAAGAGTGTTCTTGAAATCCACAGTTCTTCCTTTACTATCTGTCAACCTCCCATCCTCGAGAATCTGGAGCATCATGTTGAAAACATCGGGATGGGCTTTCTCAATCTCATCAAAAAGTACAACGGTGTATGGTCGCCTCCGGACAGCCTCAGTTAGCTGACCACCCTCGGTATAGCCAACATACCCAGGGGGTGAACCTATGAGCTTGGAAACTGTGTGCCTTTCCATGAACTCACTCATATCGAGTCGGATCATGGCTTCTTCGGAGCCGAAATAGTAAGCAGCCAGTGCCTTTGCTAGTTCCGACTTTCCTACACCAGTTGGCCCAGAGAAGATGAAGCTGGCAATTGGGCGGTTGGGGTTCTTGAGACCAACACGAGCACGTCGAATAGCACGGCTAATGGCTTTGACAGCTTCATCCTGACCAATGACTCGTTTATGAAGTGTCTCTTCCATTTTAAGCAGACGGTCAGATTCATCGGTAGATACTTTTTCAACAGGAATACCAGTCCACGAAGAGACTATATGCTGAATGTCCGCTTCGGTCACAACAGGCCCTCCTTCCCCTGCCTCAGCCTCTGCTTTGTTCATCTCCTTGTCTTTCTCTTGGATTGCAGTTATTTGAGCCCTGAGCTCAATTTCTCGATCACGTAATTCCCCAGCCTGTTTAAAAGGACGTGTTATAATATGGGTCAAGCCAAATGAAAGCGGGTTTGCAAAAAACTGATAAGCCCCCTCCATAAAAGAACAGCATAAAATAACTCCAAAAAACTGAACAATTTTGTACCTTCTCAAAGTCCTGGCCACGAACTGCTTCGTTCTTCGACTTTGTTATCTGTCGAAGCTCTTTATCAAGCTCTTTAGCTTCCTCAGGGAGCTGTATCAACAGCAATGTCATAAAATCAACTTGAGAAAGGAAGGCACATAAGTGTCACTCATGACTAGATAGTTATACAAACACACCTGCGCATGACGAAGGCGAACACGAGACCCAGCTTCATCAATCAAGTCGATTGCTTTATCAGGTAGAAAACGGTCGCTGACCATAAAGAAACCAGAGTGAGGAACAAAAAGGGCAGTTCATTTTTAGTAACTAAGCCATTAGAAAGAAACTCAACAAAAATAAGATGGTCATGTACCTGATGTACTGGTATGACAGCTGTGCAGCAGCGACTAGTGCCTCATCCGTGTAACGAAGCTTGTGGTGAATCTCATAACGCTCCCGCAAACCTTTCAAAATCTGTACAGTTTCATCTACAGATGGTTCGGGCACTTTGACTGGCTGAAAGCGTCTTTCCAAAGCTGGGTCTTTCTCAATATGCTTTCGGTATTCATCAAGTGTTGTAGCTCCAATACACTACATTGATTCAGATAGAGTGAAGAATTGTCGTCATTGTTACATTAACCAAATACTAAAATTTCAACAGTTATCAAAGCTTAAAAGAAAATTCCAAAAATCAGACCATTGGTCGGGCCTAGCATAATTCATATAGAAGTCGGATATAAAAATCAACCGTACAATCCCGACTGTAAGAACAAAATTCACCTGCAATTCACCTCTTGCAAGAGCAGGCTTCAAGATATTGGCTGCATCAATGGCACCTTCAGCTGCTCCTGCTCCAATCAAAGTGTGAACCTCATCGATAAACAACATTATTTCATCACTTTGCTTGATTTCCTCCATTAGCTTCTTCAATCTCTCCTCAAACTCTCCACGATATTTTGTTCCAGCAACAAGCAGACCCATATCAAGATTTATAATCTGATAAGAAAACAACCATAAATGTGACGATCTAACTGGAAATAGATAATTATAAACCAGCACACAAAATTGGTTGCAACTCTGAAGTCATGGAAAAGGAGGCAGAAGAATCAGTAAAAAGGAAATTCTAATGACATTGTTTGTTAATTCATACCCTCAAAAAATTAAGACGATAACACAATACCATCTTTTGACCAACTCTCGACTAAACCTTATAGTTCAGGATATCTCAGATTTGATTAAAGTGATAAACTTTACAGGATAAAATCATCACTAACCAGCTATTTCTTTTGATGACTATTCATGTGGTAAAATGAAAGATGGCCCCACGGGGATGTACGTTATACACACATTCACAACATTTAACATGCAACTTGTACAAGATTGATCCATGCTTAAAGTCAAATTTTTCAACCCCTTTGCTAAAATAAAATGCTTTTAATGCTGAAAGACGATGAATGCACCTTCTTGCCCTCAATTGTCTCAGGAACATCACCGCTAGCAATTCGTTGAGCAAGGCCTTCGGCAATAGCAGTTTTTCCAACACCAGGTTCTCCAATAAGACATGGGTTGTTTTTGGTCCTTCTACCCAATATTTGGACAACACGTTCAATTTGATCCTGCCTTCCGACAACAGGATCCAATTTACCCTAAAACGGGAAAACCCAGTTTAGAAACAAGCACATAAAAATACCCAAATGATAGAACAAACAGATAAATTCGCTTACTTCTTCAGCTAACTTGGTTAAATTGGTTCCATATTCCTCAAGTGTTGGCATTTTCGTGTTTCCAGTTGATCCTCCTGTAACGACACTAACTTCGTTGCCCTCACCAACCATACGAATAACCTAGTAAATCAAATAGAAAAGATAATCCCAGTTATGTTTTATTATTACAAAAAATTGAACTAAATATAAACAAGATCAAGTTGATAAAGGCATTTCTTGCCTGGGTGCGGATGTTACTTGGGTCAGCACCCAAATTCTCAAGAACACGGGCTGCAACACCTTCACCTTCACGAAGCAAACCAAGAAGAAGATGCTCGGATCCAATATAGTTATGGCCTGAAATTTTATAACATAACAATTGCCTGTTAATCAAAGTAAATTTTCCAAGCCCGGAGAGCATGCAAATGACTCAGAGGACTGTTCTATGAATAATCAACACAAAAAAATGAAAGTCAAATGACAGTTTAAAATCTGTTGTAAACTAATTAAAAATGAAAAGAAAAGGTTATGTATAAAGATATACCAAGTTGGCGAGCTTCTTCCAACGAGAGTTCCAGAACACGTTTGGCACGAGGAGTAAATGGAATCTCCACAGCAACAAAACCACTGCCCCTTCCAATTATCTTCTCGACTTCAACTCGCGCATCTTTAAGATTGATCCCCATGGATTTCAGGACTTTTGCGGCAATGCCAGTACCTTCACCAATAAGGCCCAACAAAATTTGCTCGGTACCAACAAAATTATGACCAAGTCGTCTGGCTTCCTCTTGAGCAAGCATGATTACCTTAATTGCTTTCTCAGTAAAGCGCTCGAACATGGCTTTAGGCACACATCGGCTTCCTCTACCACGTCGAGAAGAGATCGAAATTGCAACCTTAGAATGGAAATCTTGGCCGACTCTGACCATATTACCTAATGAAGTCAAACCACGCAACCCAGAGAAACTACGTATAGTCAATCCAGGTGTTGTTAAAGTGCACATCATCTTAGCAGACCTTTTCGATTTTCCAGATTGTTTGGATGGACCATGACTTCGACCGGTAGCTAGAGCAGGAACAACAGCCGACTGAGCCAAAAGTTTAGCCATCTCTCCTACTAAGCTATCTGCAACAAAACAAAGACTTGCATAAATGAATTCCCCCAACCAATACAATATAACTTCTTCCAACAGAGTTAACTACACAAGAACTATTGATAATTGATTAAGTAAACATGCTACACGAGAACTACAGAGTTAATTACAGAAAGCTTCGTACATTCCATAAATTTAATTTAATAACCAAAAACCCAAAAAGAAAGCATTATAAAATTATACAAATTTGAACAGGTGGGCTAAGCATCAGCGATCAACAAAAGGCTAAAAAATAAAACAATTTTCTTTTTACACCGAGAAAAATTCATTAATCCAAACATCCCACAAGACATGAAACCAAAACCCTGATTCAGATTTCAAGAAGAAACAGAGTCCTTAAACAAAAATCCAAACACCCAACAAGCCACGGAACCAAAACCCTAATTCAGGTTTCAATAAGAAACAGAGTCCAAACATCAAACAAGCCATGAAAACCAAACGAAAGCGTCAAATTAAACCTCAAGAAGAAGAAGAAAGTTCCACGACTCACCTAAAAGAAGTGATGAAAAAGTACAGAAAAAGGCTGAAATGGATAAAAGAGAGATAAATATACTAAAAGGGGTCTTTTCTTTTAGAAATTGCAAAGAGAAGAGACCATTTTTCCCACCTCTTTCTTTTAAGCTACTGGAAATGGTCGGCCGAAGAGCATATAAAGAGGATAAACGTGGCTTAAATTAACCCTCTCTCTCTCTCTCTCTCTCATCATCTCCTCCGCGACACTTGTTTGGATGTATGGGCCAAAGAGGGTTAAATTATGCTATCGGTCCCTTTACCATACTTCAATTTGTAATTTCATCTTGATATTTTTTGGTTTAACACAATATCTAATCTTTTGATTGATTTCACTTGTTATAGGAGCGATCCTTCTAAATTAGTTTGCTTCATTCGTAATATGAAAATTTGGACACTTGATCTTATTTAAAAGAACTAGTGTCTCATCTCACTAGAACCAACTAATTGTTGGTTTTATCTTAATATTTTAATTTGATATAGTTTAATCAATTTCCCTTTTTAACTCATGGTTAACTAGGGATGACAACTAGTCTGGTTAGGGTTGGGTTTTCGATCAACCCGATCAGACCTGAAAATATGTATCTTCCACCGGAATCCAACCTGACCTGAAAATTATATATCTTCCATCCAAGCTGACCTAACCCAAAAAAATGTATATTCTTCATCCGACTCTGACTTGAAATTTGATAGGATAAATTTGAATCGACCCGACCCAATATAAAAAGGACTTAATTACAAAAAATAAGTTTTTAAAGAAATTACATTATTATCCCCTGATCGGGTGGGGTTGGTTTGGAACTTTTTCACCCTCTACTCGAACTTGAACTCGATTCGATTTTGTTATAATAATAAATTCCATCAATTTTTTATGTTATTTTGATATACGATTTATCCGTTCTTGTGACATAATTCTTATAATTTAAGGTATATATTTTACAAATTTTGCGATCGTTTTTGTATTCATACAAACAATTCACGATATATATTTTTTTGATGAATTTCTTGATGTTCAAGTATTGTTAGATCTCTTCTTTGATAAAATATTGTTTGTCGTTATAATCAAAATAGTATAACGAAGTAGTATGTTAGATAATTTGATCCCTTCACTACTCTTTTAGTATTCCGTAAAACAACTCATTTGACATAGACAAGAAAGATTTATAAAACTTTATTAAATGAATGATTTTTTATTAATTTAAAAATAAATTGAATAGCGGTAACTAATTAAAAAAAACATGGGCGGCGGAGAGCCGTAAAGGCGTAAACGGTAGAGCCGTAACGCCGTTATTAACTACTAAAATTTGCGGTTGTGTTTTAAGGAACGGATCTTAGTTTTATTTATCCATAAATATAAATATAAAATATAATATCCTTTTTTTAATGTTTTGTTTTATTTCTTCCATTTATTAATTTAGGAAAAAAATATTAGAGATTTATTGAACTATGCTCAAATAGGGATGGGCATGGGTCGGTTTTGGGTTGGGTTTCGACCAACTTGATTTGATCCAAAAATTTTGTATCCTTCACCCGACTCGACCTGACTCGAAAAATATATATACCCTCCACTCGACCTGAACCCGATCTGACCTGACCCGAAATAATAAAAAATGTTATGTTTATTTAATAAAAACAGTGATTTAATTGAAAAATAATATATAGAGCGGTATTATTGTAATTATTCTTAAATATATAAAATAAAATTATATTTTTGGGTCAGGTCGATATTTTTCACCCTAAACCCGAATCTGACCCGACCAGACCCAAACCCGAATTTTAAAAAAAATCCGACTCGATCGGGTCGGGTTTGAGTCTCATGCCCATCCCTATGCTCAAATACTAGCTTGGGTAAATTAGAAATTCGGTTACTAAGCTTTATTTTCTTTCCTATTTCACTCATTGTATTTTAAATTTTTTTACTTTCTCACTGAAGCTCAATGCATTGGATTTTTTGGTCATTCCGTCGCTTCCTCACTAACGATATTAAAAGTGGACTTTTATATAGATTCAAAACAACATCGTTTTGGTGAGAATTTTGTTTTTTTAAAGAGGCATCGTTCTAATGTCGTTAACTATTTAACGACAGAGTGAAAAAAAAACCAATAATATCAAGTTCAGTGAGGAAATTGAAAACTTTTAAAGTTCAGTGAGTAAAATAAGAGAGAATAAAGTTTGATGATAAAATTTATAGTTTACTAATAGTTTTAGTCATTAAACTTTTAAAAATTACAAAAAATTACAGAATAATCATTAATTGATCTATTATAAAATAATAATTTTTTTTTATAAAATGGTCATTAATATCAAACTTTTATACTAAGATAATTAAAATTATCAAATATCTACCTTTATTATAATATCACAATGATTAGAAATAATCAGTTGATCTAGTGGAATGAGGTATTAGATCTCTTAAGCAAAGTCAATAGTTCGAATCCTGAGGTTTGCGAATGAAGCAAATTGAGTTGGGAGAGTAACCCTCGTCTTTGTAGTATCTGATCCAGATTAGTCAATCAATATATAAGATATTAGTTGTTTTGCCAAAAAAATAATATAACAATGATTATTTTACAATAGATAAATAAATTTAAGGATCATTCTGTATCTTTTGAAAGTTCAAGGTGAGAAAATGATTATTTATGTATAGTTAATTGACCTATAGTGTACTTTATCCATTTTATTATTTTCAAAACCAACTCTTTTTTTTCCTCCGTTTATTTTATTTTATTTTTATTTTTCTGTCTAAAATCCAAATTCTTTTTCTTTTTATCTGTTCAATTGTTTCTCTTCCTAAAAGAAACTCATCGGTGAGCGACCGGCGAGAATCCACATCTCGCCGGAATTTCGCTTTCGTTGATCGTCGGAATTTTGCAATTCTTTTTACCTCTCGGGATCGAGCTGCCGAAAGAGGGATAGAGAATTAAATTTCTTTTTTTTTTTCCAAAATTTTATTTCAAATGATTCTGTAATTATGTTTTTGTAGAAGAAAACAGAGAAAAAAAATATAAAAAAATAATTCTATCTCGTGCGGCGAGTAATGGCTTGCAATGCAGGAAAAACATGATTAGATCCCCTGCTCTATCTTCTTCTTTTAATATTGAATTGCTTGTTGCTTTCAATCCGGGTGTCATTTCATGAAACAGTTCGCGGGATTTTCAAGAGATTTGGCTCAAAAGGTAAGGCTTGGTTTCTGTTTCATTGAGGTCGGAAGCTTTTTTTAATCTCAATTTTGTAGGTTAATTTCAGAATTTAGGCATTTTTAGTGATTGAATTCCTTGATCTGATCTGCGATTATGTAGAATTTTCTTCCTTTTTATGGTTGAAGCTGAATAAATTATTTGTTTTACTTAAATTGCTTAAAAATGTCGCGGGAAAGAAAAAGAAAACTAGAATTTTAATATGGGGAATTTGATTTTTTTTAATGGGAAATTCATCTTATTTGAATGGTCGTTGGTTGTTAAGTGGCTTCATATTTGGTGGTACATATTGTATCAACTTATTTGAATTCCTTAAGAAATGCTTCGAACTTGTCAATTTTTGAAGAAAATATCCAGCTTTATATCTGATCTTCACTTCTTTTGAATATAATGTTTTTTATTTTATTAAAACATTCAAGTTAATTGACTAGGGATTGTTTTTTGTAGAATGCTTTCCGAGATAGGGGGATTAAGTCGGGCGGAATTGCGACTAGCGACTGTCGGACTTTTAGTTTTCAGTTCTTCAGATTTGTGGTGTTGAAGCCAAAGGATGCCATTTGAGATCATGGATCAAAGGAATGCAGTGGCATCATCCCACTTTTTAGAAGACACTCGTTTCCCTGCTGAGGTATTCTAGGGAACAATGATGCAACCGATTTTATAATTTGCTTTATATTTTGAGTTTATTAGATGGGTATTTATTTCTTGTTTTAGATGACATGGTAGGGTTCCTGTATGTGGTCATTTTGAATTGTGACCATTTTCTAGTCACTGTAGCAGAAAACTGTAATTCATTTCATGTTGCTTTAACATTTACTTCTGTTGGGCAGAGATAAGTTGGATTTTGGAAACCGAATACCATGTCTGATTATCAAGGTGAGAACAATGCTATGGACAGCTGAACTGCTCATACATTCTACTGTTAATCGGTTTATTTTAAATGCATTGACAGGTCCAACTGGCTGTCAGTTTCTTGTTAGTAGACTCGGATCAGAAAAGCATAACTTCTAGCTTTTGTTATAGTTAAACTTAATATATGACCAGCTCTTTCTCTTGGTTACTATGAGAAGATATGGCCCTGACTTAGGGATGTCATTTGGGATGTATTTAAGAACTGTAATTAACCTTCATGAATGAGTGAATAACGCAAATATATTACTTCCAAAATCACTTGATATACTTGGTGTCAGTCTTAGACTCTTCCGTTTTCAAATGCTGTATTCATTGTCTGAATTGACCCTCTAGAGAGATTTTCTTGGAACATGGGGTTTTTCCCTTGAGCATGTTAACCTCGATTAATTTAGTAAGTTCACTTAGTTTTCTTATTCTTTTTACCACATATGTTTCGTGTTTTGTGGAATTTTTGCTGGTGTCACATGTAGAACTTAAGAAATCATTCCTAAATCTTGAATGTTTTAAATGAAAACTTTTTTTTTTACTTCTGTTAAAAGAAACCTTGTGCATGATTTGTTTCCTGTGTGAAAAAACTTTTGGTCTTTGCAGACAAGGTCGTTAATTCATCCCCATTGGAAAAACTGTCTACCGAGCATATGGAACTCCCCCCATCAAATTTGGCAAGAGATCAAGAAGATAGGGTAACCATTGGTTGGAAGGGAATTACCAAGCTGTCTAAGGCGCATTCATGGAATTCTGTGAATCACGATCCAAAATCAATGTCAAATTTGTTTACACAACCAGCAGTGAACTTGAATAGAAACAGCACGAATGGCAATGTGATCCAGCATGAAAGTAGTCTGTTTTCAAGTTCATTCTCTGAAATATTTAAGAGAAATTGTAAGTATTTTTATCTATTTGCATCAACCTTGTGTGCATGTCAATGGGTGTCTCTACTCTCTACTAATGTGGCAACTTATTTTTGAATTTCATGCTTGCACTTTTTCTCTCCTGATTTTCTAATATCAATTTCTTATATAGTTTTTTATGTGTTGAATCTTTTGATTGATGGCAATTAATTTCCTACCATGTCATGCAAAAATTTCTGAAAAAAATTATGATATTGTTCTATTAACTAATCATTCCATTGATGTCTATATTGTTGATCTGTTCATGCACACACATGTTTTCTCTATTTCCCTTTTTATCTACTAGAGGTTCATCAAAATAGGACATTTTCTCATCTGACTGTAAACTAGGGCTAATATTGATCTTCACGCACCTAATTTTTTCTGGTTACTTGCTGCCCTTTTTAAAAAAATTTAATCTGTTATTTCCTTTGCTTTTCCCTTTATGCAGTGAGATTATTGGGGAATGATCTACCTTGTCAACATGCCGGTTCAGCTGCTTCACACCATGAGGAAGAACCTTTCAAACATATAGAAGAAGTTGAGGCACAGACTATTGGGAATCTCCTTCCTGATGAGGATGATCTCTTCTCTGGGGTGATTGATGAGTTGGGACTTAAAACCCATGCCAGTAAAGGAGATGAATTAGAAGACTTTGATCTATTCAGCAGTGGTGGAGGAATGGAGTTAGAAGGGGATGATAGTGTATCCATGGTTCCAAGGAATTCAGATCTTGTTAGTGTATTGAATAGTCAAGGGAGTTCAAATGGCTTAATTGTAGGTGAACATCCATACGGTGAACATCCTTCTAGGACACTTTTCTTTAGGAACATTAATAGCAATATCGAAGACTCGGAGTTAAAGGCTCTCTTTGAGGTTTGTGTTCCTTTCAATCTGTTACACTGTTTATTGAGACTTTTTGCGTGAAAATCCATCAATTCTAGTTTTAAAGGGTACATGTTCAAGTAATTGATTGACCAACCTGTTTTCTTCTGTCAGCAATATGGAGATATTCGAACTCTCTATGCTGCCTGCAAGCATCGTGGGTTTGTTATGGTTTCTTATTATGATATAAGGGCAGCCCAAAATGCAATGAGGGCTCTGCAAAATAAATCACTAAAGCGTAGGAAACTTGATATACATTATTCAATTCTAAAGGTTTGGCTTCAACCAATTTGTTATGGATTGTTATTGCCTACTTTTGTCGCCGTTAACCTCACTGCTGGTTCAACTTACAACCTTGTTTTGTCCAATTTGTTGATGAATCTTCATGTGATTTGTTGCTGCTTTATCTTTTATTTTCCAAACTCTTTTGGCCTCAGGAAAATCAATATGAAAAAGATGTTAACCAAGGGTCGCTGGTGGTTTTCAACCTTGATTCTTCTGTTTCAACTGATGAACTTCAACAAATATTTTGTGCTTTTGGAGAAATAAAAGAAGTAAAGGATTCGTTCAACTTCTTTTAGCTTCAAATGTTACTTATGTTTGGATGATAATGTATAAGTCATGTAAGTTAATTTGTGTGGCAGATTCGTGAAATTCCACATAAGCATGACCATAAATTCATAGAGTTTTATGATGTTAGAGCTGCTGAAGCTGCTTTTCATGCTCTGAATAGGAGTGATATTGCCGGAAAGCAGATCAAACTTGAACCAAGCCATCCATGGGGAGTTAGACGGTAATATCATAAACTGGTTCCTTTTTTCTTCACTTTCTTTTTGAAGAGTTTCCCCTCTTTCCCATTATCATGGCTCCTGAAAGTTGGAATTTTTTTTAAGCTCTACTTCCGTACTTCAATATGAATTTGGAGTTAGTAAAATCATGCTTTATCATTTTCTAGATACCTTATTTGCATTTGGTTTTATAAGTCGTATTCATTTCCTTATTTATATTTTTAAATGAAAAAAGTACTGTTTTCTATGGCCTCTATAAAATAATAATTCAAAGTTCCTTTCGCAGCTTTATGCAACAGCCCGAGTCAGAGCAAGATGAACCTAACCTATGCAAAAGCACTTTTGATGAGTTATTATCAGGCAACGGTAGTATGCTCTGCCTTTAACATCTGCAATCTTATCAATTCATCATAAACTGTTGTTTCAGAGCAAATGTTTATATTGCCTCATGGTTCCTACTTTATGATTCATTCTGACAGTTTCTCGAGGAATAACTGCATCTGGCTGCATGGATAATGGGTCTACCCAGGTAGTTGTACCTGTGAGTAAATTTGTTGAACCCCCTCGAAGTTCGAGTGTTCCAATTAACTTGGCCTCTCCAGCAATAGCGGCACCTATAGGAAAACAAATCAGCTTTCTGGAGCCTGACCACTCTCTAGATGAAGTGAAGTTTGCTAACCAAGGTGTACCAAGTTTCCATCCCCATTCCTTACCCGAGTGTCATTATAGCTTAGTCAATGGTATTTCATTCAACTCCTATAGCACCATAACAGACATGGCTAGCAGTGCCAGTCCCATGATGACCGAAGGACTTGATAATAGGCACATTCGGGGACCACGGTCAAATGGCCACCTCATGCAACCCAATGCAGGAGGTAAGCTCAGCTGATTATGGTATTCAATATTAATTAAAAAAAATGTTTTCCTGCATCTTTGTTGCACTCCTTTGTGGATTCATATGAGTTTCGTAAGTCAGTATGTTAATATATTTAAAAGGCTCATAATTTATCATGTTAAATTTTTTTGAGTAGATGTAATTCTTCTTTCTTCTTGAATTCAGTTGTTTCTTATGTTTTGAACTTCAGTATCTTAGGTTGCCTTTTCTAACTTTGTGTCACTAAAATCTCTCTAGTTATTGGGTCACCTGGAAATGGAAGCTTGCCACTTAATGGGAATCATTACTCGTGGAACAGCTCCAACTTGCGCCAGCAAGATCTGCCAAGTTCTATGGTTTGGCCAAATTCGCCATCATTTGTCAATAGCATTCATGCTAACTGCCTTCAACATATCCCTGCATATCCTAGGACTCCTGTAATGTTGAATGTAGAGTCACCTGTCCACCACCACATTGGCTCTGCGCCTCCAGTTAATTCTGCATTCTGGGACAGGCGGCATCCCTATACCGAGGAGTCTCCTGAAACTTCAGGTTTTCACCTGGGATCTCTTGGAAGCATGGGCTTTACCAGTAATTCGCTATCGCATACCTTGGAATTTGCTTCCCACAACATTTTTTCTCATGCTGGTGGAAATTGTATGGATTTGACGAAAAATGGTGGGGTACACTCTTCTCAGCAGATAGGAAACCTATTCAATGGCAGGAATCCTATGATTTCAATGCCAGCATCTGTTGATTCCCCTAATGATCATGTTAGAAGCCTTTCGCACCGTCGAAATGACTCAAATTCTAGCAACACTGATAAGAAACAATATGAACTTGATATTGACCGGATCATACGCGAGGAAGACAGCAGAACAACACTTATGATTAAAAACATACCCAACAAGTATGTGAACTGGCAAATTACAATCATTTTATTCTTTATGTCTAATGTCTTGGGTTGTTCTTTTTACTATTACAATAATTTTGTTGCAAGATATTGTATCTATTTACACTTTCTTACGCGAGGAAAATTGCAAGATGGATGATCATAAAGTTGCAGATAGTCTGTGATGATTATCAACACTTTGCCTTTAAATTCTCATCATTGCTGATAAATGGAGTAATTAATGATTGGCCATCAATTTTGAAATGTTGTTTCTATTTGACTACTTGACATATTTCTTTGGATTTTTTATTGCATGCTCTGTAACCTTTCCCTATGTTTCTTATTTCAAATTGATTATCCACTCATGGTAATTTTTGCAGATATACCTCAAAGATGCTTCTGGCAGCCATTGATGAGCACTGTCGAGGAACTTACGATTTTATTTATTTGCCAATTGACTTCAAGGTAAGTAAATTAGTTAATCAGGCATTTCCAAACCTCGACACCGTGATACATACTTGGTTGTGTTACATTTACTTGTAGTTGAATTTGTTATTAACTGTAAGTTTTACAAATAATTTTTGCAGAATAAATGCAATGTAGGGTATGCTTTCATCAACATGATTGATCCAAAACAGATCATTCCCTTCTATAAGGTTCGATAATCACACGAATATCTCTTATCTGTGCAAGTATTGTCATTTCCATGTGTGTCGTCCAGTTTTATTTTCGGGTTAAACCAATACATCTTTTCAGGCATTCAATGGCAAGAAATGGGAGAAGTTCAACAGTGAAAAGGTTGCATCTATTGCTTATGCTAGGATCCAGGGAAAGGCTGCTCTTATTACTCATTTTCAGAATTCAAGCTTGATGAATGAAGATAAACATTGCCGCCCTATTCTCTTTCATACTAATGGCCCGAATGCTGGTGATCAGGTAGGTTATCTCGACACCATGAATAAGCTCAATGCGATTTTTCTTTTCGTTCTTGTTTCCCGAAACTTATTGTTTTTTTTTACTTGTGTGGCATACCCTATTCTTGTATCTGTAATAGAGAAGGATGTTTTGAGTATGTAACTCCTTTTTTTTGTAGGAGCCCTTTCCTATGGGTATCAATATTCGACCAAGACCAAGGAGACCTCGAACCATTGGTAACGACAAGAACCACCGGCATGGTAGTTCTTCAACTTTATCTAACATGGAGGAGTTTTCCAATGGGGTCGACTCATTGACGGGTTCTTCCAAAGACTCTGATTGAACAGTGTGCTTATCCATCTCTAACTTCCCAAGTTCCAAGTATCTGAACCTTTTTTTTCAGTAGAAACTACTGTATTTTGATGGTGGCCCGATGACTCTTTTTTTGACATAGAGAATCAGTTCCGGGAACCAAGATGTATAATCGATACTAAATGTAACACCCCTAACCCATACCCGACCCGGATATGAGTCAGAGATACTACATTGACTTTAAAACACAACTCTTAATAAATAATAGTAAAACATTTGTACTTGTATTAAGAAAATACAATAATATACATACTGTAATATAAGTTTATCAAAATATTCAGAGCATACACAACTTAACCCTTTAATTACATGCCAACTGTCATTTACATAACAAAATGACCTACTGATTAAGTTGCTTCTGATCTGATGGTTGCAGGAGTAATACTGTCAAGCTGCTTCACCTGTCTCTTCTATTTTTCCTCGGATCCTACGTGTGAAACACTCACACGCTAAGTCATCGACTTAGTGAGGCAATAATAATAAGGCAATGTAATGTAATCCAAAATGTCAGGATCATATGATATGAGATGCAAACATGTACTTAATCAATATAGTATACTTCATCAATATCCATACCTGTAAGCGTATGACTGTAACATTCATTATTCTGTATTAATTAAGTTTATTGGCCCATGATAGCATATTGAGAACCTAAGGTATTTGAGTAATGTGAGGTTGTGCACTATGCTGTCACCACAGCTCGTATAAATGCACCGAAGTGCCCGTAGAATTGCACCGAAGTGCCCGTAGAATTGCACCGAAGTGCCCGTAGAATTATGTCCATAAGGACCACATAGAATTCCTTAAGAATCATATACATATACTATGGATCAAGTATGTGTCTTTCAAGACTTCACACAGGTTCTAAAGGATATACATATGTCCTAAAGAACCGAGTATACCCTCTACCCTTGGCATGCCAACTATACCTATAGTTCTCATCTACATAACATGGGCTTATACATTTCCCGTAGTTCATATCGCGTAGACATAGTATTTCCATACCTTTAACACATAGGCATATCATTTACATACCTTTATCACATAGTGCATATAACTTTTTCTGCATATTCATGTCATGTAATACATATAATATGAATTCATGTCATGTAATACATTTAATACAAATTCATGTCATGTATCATAATATGAAATGTAATCATATGTCAAAATATGGAATCTAGACTTATCACAAGTCTAGAACTGAATATACTACTATATTCATGCTATGCATATGCACTCACCTATACTTCTTTGCCTTTTCCTCGATCGATTCTACTTGTAGATTGTTCCCGAACTCGAGTAGGCTCGGTATCTACATAAACATAATTTTTAAGATGATCATCAGATGTCTATGTCTTGCAATTAAGCTTTAATAGCTTACTAATTTAAAGAATTTATAGCTTAGTCTTGCTTTCTTTTCTTTCTTCTTCTTTTTCTCATGGGGGAATCGGTTCCCCCCCCTGGGGGTATCGATTCCCCTCAAGCAATCTGGAATTTCATATACGATGAGGGGGTATCGGTTCCCCCCCTGGGGGTACCGATTCCCCTCTAGCATTCTGGAAATTCATTTCATTGAGGGGGTATCGGTTCCCCTTGAATGGGTACCGATTCCCCTAACCCAGAAATCCTATTTTGAGCCCGGAAATCATCTAATTTCAGCTCAAACATACTTATTTCAATCCCTTTAACACTCTTAGCTCTCATACACTTACTTAAACTAATTATTAACCATTCAATACCTCTAAAACTAAGAAAACTCCTCATCCATATAGAATTGAAGAATCTTACTCCAATTTCAACTTGTTCTAATTCCAATTCTATTACTTCATACTTCTTAATTAGCTTATTGACAAGTCAAAAATCTGATTCAAACATCAAAAACTCATTCCTATCAAGATTTCATCTAAAAACTCATTTTCCAAATCATTCTCTAAATCACTTATTTTGTTGTTTTAATGTCATATAAGGTTTCCTTTATCTTATATAACATACCAACTTTCATTTCCAATCTTAACAATCCAAGAAACTACCAAGTTCAGTTTCTTACCTATAATTGCAAGCCCACGGTTGGAGGAGGAAGAGAAGAAAGTAAGGAAGAATGAAGAAGAAATGGGAGGTTCTGGAACCTAAAATCACACGTGGTTCTCATATACCCCATAACATCTTATTTTAATTAAAATTTCCTTCCAAATGACCATTTGGTCCCTACCTTCATTTCATATTTACTAACCTTTATTTTTAAACTATATAATCATTCTACTTTAATCCCCAAATGTTGAAACTTTGCAAATTAATCACTAACCCGGCATGGAGGATGTTACAAATCTCTCCCCCTTAAGAAAATTCGTCCTCGAATTTTCATTGCACGAACAAATGAGGGTATTGATGTCGCATATCTTCTTCACGCTCCCATGTTGCTTCTTCTACTCTGTGATTTCTCCACAACACTTTGACCAAAGGAATAATCTTGTTCCTCAATTGCTTAACTTCATGTGCTAAGATTTGAATCGGTTCTTCCTCATATGTCAAGTCAGGACGAACCTCAATCTCTTCTGGTGTCACGATATGAGAAGGGTCAGATCTATATCTTCGAAGCATTGAAACGTGAAAAACATCATGTATCTTTTCCATCTCATGTGGTAAAATTAGCTGATATGCTACTGGTCCTACTCTCTTTACAATCTCATATGGTCCAATAAACCGAGGACTCAATTTTCCTTTCCGACCAAATCTCAACACCTTCTTCCACGGAGACACTTTTAAAAACACCTTATCTCCAACTTGAAATTCAATTTCTTTCCTCTTAAGATCAGAATAGGACTTTTGCCGATCAGAGGCCACTTTGAGGTTATGCTGAATTTCTCGAACTTTCTGTTCCACATCTTGAATTAAATCCGGACCAAGAACACTTCGGTCTTTGAGTTCATACCAATTTAATGGAGTACGACATTTTCTTCCATATAATGCTTCATAGGGGGCCATCTTTATACTAGACTGATAACTATTGTTGTAAGCGAACTCTGCCAGCGGTAAATACTTTTCCCATGATCCTTTAAATTCCATTACGCACGCTCTCAACATATCTTCCAATATCTGAATAGTTCTCTCTGATTGCCCATCAGTCTGAGGATGAAAAGCCGTACTGAAGTTTAAACGAGTCCCCAACGCTCCATGCAAAGATTTCCAGAATCTAGAAGTGAATCGAGGGTCCCGATCAGAGACTATGGAAACATGTACTCCATGCAATCTAATAACTTCTCTAATATACAGCTCTGCATACTTTTCCATAGAGAAATCCGTTCTAACAGGGAGGAAATGCGCTGACTTAGTTAATCGATCAACAATTACCCAGATTGATTCTCTTTTGTTCGGAGTCAAGGGTAACCCCGAAACAAAATCCATCGTAACATTTTCCCATTTCCATTGAGGAATGAACAGCGGTTGCAATAATCCTGATGGAACTTGATGCTCGGCTTTGACTTGTTGACATATCAAACACTTAGACACAAATTCTGTGATGCTTCGTTTCATCCCTAACCACCAAAATCGATCCTTCAAATCCATATACATCTTGGTTCCACCCGGGTGCATCGTTAACGGACTGCAATGAGCCTCTGTTAATATCTCCTTCTTCAAGTCGTCATTGTCGGGTATTACAATTCTTCCTTTACAATAAAGATTTCCATCTGACTTAATCTCAAAGTCTTTAATCTCTTTGTTCTTTACTTGCTCAATTCTTTTCAAACACATTTCATCTTTACCTTGCAATACTCCTATTCGTTCCAACCATGTTGGTCTAAGGGTTAATTCTGCACAAAGATCACCGTCTCCCGTTAAAGATAATCTTGCATCCATAGCTCGTAAAGCTGCAAACGTCTTTCTACTCAGAGCATCTGCTACCACATTAGCCTTTCCGGGATGATAGTCAATTATCACATCGTAATCCTTTAAGAACTCTACCCATATACGTTGCCTCAAATTCAATTCTTTTTGAGTCATCAAGTACTTCAGGCTCTTATGATCCGTATATAAGTAACAACGCTCCCCATAAAGATAATGACGCCAAATCCTGAGAGCGAATACTACAGCAGCCATTTCTAGATCATGAGTGGGGTAATTCCTTTCATGTGGTTTCAACTGTCTCGATGCGTACGCTACCACTTTTCCTTCTTGCATTAATACACACCCCAACCCGTTATGGGATGCGTCACTGTATACTACAAAATTCTTGCCAGATTCCGGTTGAACCAATATCGGAGTTTCCGTCAAAATTCTCTTTAAAGCTTCGAAGCTTTCTTTACATTCAGAAGTCCAAACAAAGGATACGTTCTTTCTCATTAGCTTTGTTAGAGGCAGCACAATCATCGAAAAATTCTTAACGAATCTTCGATAGTACCCGGCAAGTCCCAGAAAACTCCGAACTTCAGACACATTCTTAGGAACTTCCCAATCCATTATAGCTTTAACTTTCTGAGGGTCTACTCTAATCCCAACTGCCGAGATCACATGCCCCAGGAAAATTACTTCCTTTAACCAAAACTCACATTTAGACAATTTGGCATACAACTTTTTATCTCTCAAAATTTGCAAGACAATCCTCAGATGTGTGCTATGCTCTTCATGGGATTTCGAGTACACCAGTATGTCATCAATAAAGACAACAACAAACTGGTCCAAGTAGGGCTGAAAAATCCTGTTCATAAGATCCATGAAAGCAGCAGGTGCATTCGTTACTCCGAATGGCATTACGATGAATTCATAATGACCATATCTCGTTCTGAAAGCTGTCTTCGGAGTATCTTTCTCCTGGATCTTCAATTGATGATAACCCGAACGTAGATCAATCTTTGAAAATACCAAAGCTCCTTTTAGTTGATCAAACAAGTCATCAATGCGCGGAAGGGGATACTTGTTCTTGATGGTCACCTTATTGAGCTGTCGATAGTCAATGCAAAGACGCATTGATCCATCCTTCTTCTTAACAAATAACACCGGAGCTCCCCAAGGCGATACACTTGGTTGGATAAATCCCTTCTCTAGCAATTCTTGTAATTGATGCTTTAACTCTTGCAATTCTTTCGGAGCCATTCGATAAGGTGCCATTGCAATCGGAGCTGTTCCCGGCATTATTTCTATTTGGAATTCTACCTCTCTATCCGGAGGTAATCCTGGCAATTCAGCAGGAAAA